TCAGCTGATGAATCTCTGATAAGTGCTCAGATAAAGTGCTCTTTGTTTGAACGATGTGTTAGGGTTCTGTTTTGTATGTTGTGACTGCTCCCGTGGATGAATATTTTTCTGAACTGATCCTACTCACAGGGTAAGAAGACAAGTCTGTTGATAACTTCTGCAGGGATTTTGCTGTATTTTTAAAAAGAACTATGATGACCAGTATCATCCCTTGTCAACATGGCATCATCAGGCCGCTACTGTAGCCCCGCGGCCCCCTCGACAAAAGTAGCTAATGCAGTGCAACGTTCCACTACATCAATTCACAGCTTCCACACCCACTGAAATGCATTTGATTAGTCACACCAGCACGGCAACGGGGACATAAATAATTCATCTGTGCAAGTGACAAATGAGGCAATCAATTCTGGGACAGCATTCAAAGAGAAACTATTCAAATCCCCTCTAAATTAATTTTGTGCCTTTTACTGGCAGCGGACTAGAAATTTTTTATGCCGATTTAATCAGATGATGTTTTTACTCTGACTTCCACAAACATTCGGGTGTCAGAAAATGTTTATAAAAGATTTTTTTTTAAATATGCAAAACATCAAAGTTTTTACTGTGTCTAAGCCATTCAGAGGTTTTAATTTTAGATGAAATCGCACTTAAACACTTGCAGCTTTAAATACTGGACATCAGAGTATCTCAGTCCGGGCTGCATTTCCTTGCTTAAACTGCAGGAAGAATAGCAAGTACATCAGGAACTGGTTATTTTATATTAAAAGAGTGAAACAAAAGGAGGGATGAATTAATTTAATATTCTGTCTGGAAGTAGAAACACTACTCTCTATGAATGTAAAGCCCTTTGGATGAGCCGAGCTCCTCTATGTGGGAACAGTTCACTCTTGACTTTGACCTCCAGGACTTGGAGAACAAAGAACCTGATGCATAATCTGCCCACAATTATTTCGTCCGTCTACTGTAGCCTGAATGATGATCAGCAGCCTGAAAGCTGCATCCTGCTGCTCAGACAAAATGAATTAACGACAGAGACGAGGTCTGGAGTGTTACATGTGAATCAGGTTCTTGAATCCTTATTGTTTGATATCTAAGAGCGTCTGATTAGGCGCGGCTTTCAACATTTACAGTTGGCTTAAACTAAAGGTCTCTAATCATTTTTGAAACATCACTCCCTCTAAATTAAACTAGACGATGGGTTTCTAGCATCTTAGCTAGCAAGTATTTTGCCAATGCAAATGCTAAAGCCAACTGAACCCCCTTCTTTATTAATTACAAACAGCCAGAGGCGCTGCTTGTCAACAGACAAGGCAGGCAACTGCTTGGGGCCCCAGACCAGTAGGGGGCCCCAAAGCAGAGGCCTAAAATGTGCAAATTTTGCAATGACGGTAGGAAACCTCCCTAAGGGGGCCCCATCTGACAGCACTCATTCTCGTTGCCCTGCTGAATGTTGGTTGGAGGGCCCCACTAATTATTTTTGCCTGGGGCCCCAACAGGCTCTAGAATCACCACTAGAGCCTGTTGGTGAATCTGTGCTGAAGCCAAACTGGTCAAAAATGGTTTAGTGTGAAATACTGATACCAAACTAAAAAAAAAATCAGTAGCCTATTTTCTGAAGAAGATATAGCTTAAGGGGTCAAATAGCAATTACAGAAAAATAACTTCCTCTTCATGCACTGGTCATTATTTACATATATTTTACATTTTTAAGAAACTTAAAAAGTGAGACATGGTGGATTATTAGCTGTACTTGCATGCAGATGTCTGTTTACAGAGGTGGATCAAAACTCAAGTAAAATATTTCAAGATAAGCAATGAGATCCAGGAACGTATTATTGCTGATGTTTTCAGCGCCTTTTGCTCTGCTTACAAAATGTTTTCCTGCACAACACCAAAGCCCACCAAAACTGGACGATACTAGTTGCTACTCACAGAGGAACATCAGAACACCTGATTTATCTTTAATTCCATCAGGATGGGGCTATCTTGAGCCAACCTTCTGCTATCACATTGCTTAAAGCTACAGCAGCAATGAAAAACATAAATATAAAGTAAAATCTAGTCCAAAGGCTTACCCTCACACAAACATATCATTTATTTCAGAAACCTTAACTCAAACCTTCTTTGCCCTTATCAAAACTATTTATCTCCTCAACATATAACCATCATCATAACCAATCTATGTCAATACCTCTCCAGAGAGGACTAAAGTACAATCAACTTTTTGAGTAGAGGATGGAAAAACAAACCTCGATGGAGAACAAACCTCAACAAAAAAACAAATTCAGAACGGGCATCAGAACAAAACTTTACCGCAAACTCACAGTTTGGAGGACAGACAATCCCATTGGAATACCCTGTTGCCATAGCAACTGTCAGTTACATGTCAGTATCCCCCTTCTTTTTTTTTTTTTTTGTCCTCTTGTCAGTTCAGAGCAACGAGTCCCCAGCAGACAGAGGCCTTCATTTGACACAAAGTTAAAATAAAACTGCAGAAATCGAGCAGGTGTGTGTGATTCGCTCGACACACACACACACACACACAAGGCCAACAGGCACAGAAATCTGTCATGTTGACTGGTGTCTGAGTGCTTCACTTTACATTGAACAACCGGCCAACTTTTTTTTTTTTTTACAAGTACAACTTCTTGGGGAGATAATCGCGCTCCATCCACGGCCGAGGTTCCCACTCATCCATCACCTCCCGATGCGATATTCGTGACTAACAGAAAAAAAACGGACTGCGGGCTAACAATCCTTCACTCCAGCTTGCATGAAGTTGAGTTGAGGTGAAAGCAATGGCCTTTTGCTGAATTACCTTCCCCTTAATCAATGACACTGTGTTGGAGAAAATATCTCCAGGAGAACAGCAGAGGGACTCTGTATCCATCATGGAAGTCTGCAATGGATGACCCTCGTGTATCACTCTGTCAACATTCATCAGACATTCATCAGAATGTAGAAGGATTGTAACAGGACACATTGAAGCAACACAATGAGGATGAATTATCTTCTGTTCTAAAGTAAAGACAGCAGAGGAAGGAAATGTATGACTCTGGTATATTCTTAAAGAAAAACTTGTTTAAACAGCCGGTTCAACCATCGGTCGTCTTTTTTTTTTCCAACATACTACTGATGTTGACAAAGTTTTCAGAGTCTTGGACAGATTGAGCTCAGGGCGAATAATTCATTACAGTGCAGGCATCAACACACTGTGGATTCATGCTTATGTCAAAGTCACAAAAATATGAAGTTGGGGAAAACGATACATGTTTGGGTAGCTCTGATGTATTCACCTTCACATTTTATTAAAAAAAATATAGTCTATAGATGTGTAGGAGTAAGAGGAATAATCAGTCGATCTGAATAGGATGAAGCTGGGGTCTGAGCTGTTGTTTTTGTTGTTGTTGACAGATTCAGGACAGCAGCCAAGTTTTTGAGGTAACTCTCAAACCACTAGAAAAAATCTTGCCGGACAATTTATCTTCTTCCAAATTCAATTATATTGATTTGTATTCTTAAAGTTAAGCATTACATACACATTCACAGCATGTGCTGATAAGTTTCTAGTTATCATGAACATAATAATTATTCAATTATGGATTTTTTTTCTTTAATTAAAGAGTTTCTTTGATGGGAATTATTTATTTTATGAATTCTGGAAAGTTTTGTAACGTAAAATAAGTCAGTGATTTTCTTTGTCTTCACAAGAAAAACTTAGTAATAGTTAAAAGGATCTCATAAATAAAGTAAAAAAAGAAAGCACTTTCCCTATTTTTTATTTTGTGATGAACAAATTATGATGTTTTAGGCAAGATTCAAGATATTGTAAGAAAGAGGGTGCCTGTAGCGTAGTTGTTAGTGCACGCACCCCTTTTACAGAGGGGTCATGTCATTCCCCACTCTCTCTCTCTCCCAGATTTCAGACTCCATCCACTGTCTTATCGCTACAATAAAGGCATAAAATGCCCAAAAAGAAAAATTAAAAAAAGAAAAGAAATGTAATGTTTTTAGTAGGGCTGGGCACGTTAACGCGTTATTTTCGCGTTAACTCATTAATTAATTATCACCGACAATTATTTTATCTCACATTAACGCAGTTTTTATTTATTTTCTTATTGTAAAAGTCTGTTTCTCACTGGCTTTTATTTTATAAAATTCCATTGTGAGTAAGCCTCGTATGTTGCTTACTGCTGCGCATGTCTGCTGCGGCGCTCACAGGAAAGAGCAAACAGTGTTGCCAACTTTCTCGCTAAATCTGGCAACTTTCCAAACCCCCTTGGCGACTTTTTTGTCAACAGTTACTAGCGACAAATCTAGCGACTTTTTCTGGTGTTATTGGAGACTTTTTTAGTGTAAGAAACTGACGTGCACGTATTGCTGTCCTCAACGAGCAGTGGGTGCTGCCGTGAGCCCCTCCCCCTTCCAAAAGCTCTCAGGCTGTCAGTGTAGCCTCCAGCAGCAGACCCAGAGAGGAGACCCACACCACTCTGCGTCCAGACTGCAACGAATGCAATAAGCTTTAGTTTTGTATTTATTTGCTTTGATTACATTGTTTAAGTTGAGAAGTACATTTACAATAAAAGTGGGCTATACACTACTTTTAATTCATTATTGGATTTTGCGTATAACAATGCGATTAATCGTGATTAATCACAGGAACTCATGCGATTAACGCGATTAAAACTTTTAATCATTGCCCAGCCCTAGTTTTTAGTGTAATGAAATGTAATGAATGAGTTTTGTCCCAGAAGCCTCTGAAGGGGGAAAAATGGATCTTGAAGTTTGTCTTGTAGGCCCGGCTGAACTGTTTGACTGAAATGATTATAAATTATTGTTTTAACTTAAATCGGTACGTATAGTGATATAGATAATTTTATTAAATTCCTTTTGTAATCGTATGAGTAATAAGTTGTCTAACCCCCTTACAGTAACATTCATGAGGCATGCACTGAGGGACTTTGGGATGTTTTTTTTTTTTTTTAGTGCAGAGGGAGTACCTGAGCATCCACAAGCAGGCGTCTCATCAGGGTCATGGACTTCTTCAATGTGTCCCTCTCTCCTGGGATAAAGGCCACGTCCTCGTCAGTCAGGCTGCACGGTCTGGTCACCATGAACTGAGCGATCTGGTCGTTCAGGCTGTTGAGAGACTGAACTGCTGCAGAAAAAGAAAAGAGAAACAAAGAAGATGGTTAGACACAGAAACTCAATGGTGATTACATTACCCTTGTAGTTCGTTCATTAGAGCCATGTAGGCCAAGCAGCTCTGAAGTTTGTTTCCTCTCTCTAGTGGGATTTTGTGGATCACTGTGGCTGTAGATGACTTCCCTCATCTACAGCCACAGTGGAGCAGTTTCCATTGTTCACATCCTCAGAATAATCGCTTTTATGGACAAGAGGGGCATCATTAGGCTAAACCCATTACCAAGAAACAGAAACTCACATTCAACACAAATTCAAATGATCTAATCCGCTTTTTTTAATGGTGACGGTCCCAATAATAATGTCTTTTCTTTCTGTTTTTTTAAGTCGAACACAATCTTAGGTTCATTAATGTCGCTGAGCTAGCTGTGGGGAAGCTCTCTATAAGAGGCAGCGGTCACTGTTAAGCTCTCTGATTGATAAAACTTCCATTTACAAAAGCAAAGATGAAAGCATGCTACTTTTAAAGGGCATCCTATTTCAAACATTTTTTCCTTTTGATGAAAGCATCAAGCCATTAACTGCTGCACTCTTATTGTGTTGGGTTTCTTTGTGTGTGTGTGTGTGTGTGTGTGTGTGTGTGTGTGTGTGTGTGTGTGTGTGTGTGTGTGTGTTACATCATATGGTTTCAACAGTGGTGAAGAATTCTTATGTTTTCGCTTCTGCTAACATTTCACACAGACTTTTCCCTTAAAAGATGTAATCTGTTATAATGACAACAACCGTTAATTAGGTTTATTTTTTAATTGGGATAAATGTTCATTCACAATCAAAATGAATAGTTTTTCAGCTCCACACCATCCTTTCCTCTTTTTATGGTTGGATTTAACACTTTATAACTTCCTGGACCTGATAGAGAACAGAAACAGTTTAAGATTCTTTTTTTATAAAACTACAGAAATGTAATTGTGAACACCCTGATGTTCTATTAATTGTTTGTTTGGAATATACAGTACATTATTAAATGTTATTGATATTATTTTATTGGTACAATTAAATTGATTTTTATTTTTATTATCATGTGTATTTTGATGCTTTTAGAATTATTTTACAATCTACATTTTATTAGCAGCTCATGTATTCTGTCATGGTGTTTGTTTGACTTAATGTGTTAATTGTGCTTTGTTAAATAAAGTTTTGTTGTATGAATGTCATGGATGTGTTTTTATGTAATCTATGAAATCTTGTCAATGAAGAGATGGAGATCCTGGGAGAGTAGCTGCTGTTAAACACAGAGTGTACGGGGATCTTAATAAACAAATAAACAAAAAAACAAACTCCATTTTAAGGTGGTTGACTTTTTTTTTTTAAATCTTTCAATACTTGAAAACAGTTAATATCAGAAAAATATGTTTGCTATGGGAGTACTACCTGGTATATCTGTACTAATGCTCAAGCGTGATGTCATTTTTATACTTTTACTCATATCAGTTGAGTAAAAATTAACATTCAGACCATTAACTACTTAAGTGATGTAAAAATGAAAAACTGTTTTAATAGTTTAAGCATGAAATGACAGAAAAGTGTGACATCATGTTCTCACAAAGACAGATAAGATCTTCAGGAGTCAAAAATCCAAATATAATGCATTACAAATAAACAGGAAATAGCAAACAAGTAATCAGCTAGCTTAATATCGTGCCTGTTGACCCTTCACCAGGGAGGAAGCACATTTGAAAAGGTCTGAACACTCGCTCCTGGTCAAGCATCGCTTTCTCTCACACACATACTTGAACAAACACACACAAATATCGGCAAGCAGGCTGAGAGGTCAATTTGGGGCGAAAGTGAGGGAGCAACTGAGGCAATGTGTGACTCACTGACGTCAGCCAAGGTCGACTTTTCAGCAGAATGATCAAAGATTTACGATCACACCTTCCAGCCTTCTCTTGAACTGCAGGACACGGCGAAAAGAGGCATGTTTACGAGCACACAGGGGCCCTGCAGGCTGCAACGCATACATCAAATCTGTGCAAGGTGGTCGGAGGGGTGTGAGGGATAAGATGTTTACAGCAGAGTCTGACGAGTGGTTTCTAATTTCATATTCAACTTTTACAAGGTGTACCTCTCGGCCAAAGAGACAGGGAAACATGTCGAGTAATAGCACGCTGTTGCTGAAAATGACATGCTGTCAAACTCCGAGTACAGACATACCGTCTTCTGCTTGCTGCTCCACTTTCACTTTTTATTCTAAGCATTCTGTCTCACACTGTGAAATCTGATGGAAAAGACAGGTGGCTTTCTACAAAATCAATTTACGGTAGCTTTGACTGTCCTGAATATGTCAGGAAAAAAAAAACGACACAATCAAAATGCAACAGCTCCTCTCTAAGGCCAAAGAACATCAGAAAGATATCACAGGAAGAAAAAAAAAAAAACATGACGCTGAAGTTTGAATTTGTTGAACCATTTGCAAGGGCTCACTGCTCCTCACTCGTGAAATTACAACAAATGCTTAAGCCTTCAGCTGCTCATCAACATCTGACAGAATTTCACGTGCAAGTCTCCAGCAACACCTGCGCGTTCAATATTCCTCAGGTAGCGGACGAGCAGACGAAGCAGCAGCTTGGAGATGATAACAAACCTCATGCCTCTACTGAGAATATGTAAGGGAGGAAATGTCAAACCAGGTTTTCACATCACTGATCAGACACATTAGCAAGTGTGAGACTTCAAACATGGCCTAATGAAGCTCATCATCTTATAGATGTTGCCATTTAACATTAGGAGAGTATGATGAGTGAGGAGGAAATAGAGAAATGGCTATTTTCATTAGAAATGATGAACCTGGACACCAGAGTGCTGACTTCGCTGTGCAGCGTTTTAGCGATTGAGCCATCTATTTAAAAAAAAAAACAATAATTACAGCAGATCTTAGTAAGGTTTACAAAGCTTACTAGATAAAGAACAGTTATTTCCCTGTTCTACACATGAATAGCAGTAACATGTTAGAAAAAATAACTATAATGAACTGCGTCATCTTTTTTTTTTCTTCCTTAAAAAATTGATATGTATGCCAGGAAATGTTAGAAACTGTGCTTAATTCATTACTTGTGTTGTTTCAAAATTGTTTCTTTGTATGGTCCAAGCACAGAAATGAATTATGTGAATGTCACCTTATTGATCTGTCAACTTGTTTCTTCATTTCACCTTTTATTTTTAAGTCAGTTTTAGAAAGGAGCAAATCACAGGTTAACGGATTAAACTCCATACTCCAATGTACATTTGTTAAAAGTGTCTATATCACTGACTCTTTGATTTATTTCCCCCGAGATTTCAGAGTTAAATACCTTCCCTCACATGGCCTAATGTGCATTCACACACATCCCTCCCATCAGGCTGGACTTTCTTCACATCTGCGTCTATGATGTAAAAATGTAAGTCGCGCAAATCACTGAAATCAGAGAGGCATTGTGTTTTTCTGTGAAGCGCCCTCCCACACACCGGTGCCCCAGTGCTGCCAGTGACTGTGAGACAATCTTTGTAGCCACCCACAGGAGAGCAAAACAACATCAACAATGAACTCTAATGAGGCATGTTGGTGTTTTGTCAGTCAGCACAGTCCTCGTGAAAGGAAAATATAATGTGCATCTGGAAAAAAAAAAAAACAGCTCATAAAAGCAATTCATACTCCTAAGAAAAGCATCCATTACAGTTTCAGGAGTTGTCTGAAATCGTATAAAATTTTATGAATTAAGTTTGTTTTCTTTTGTCCTTTTTTTTTAGTATTTCTAAATAGTCAGCTGCCCCCTCCAGAGTTGTGATGATGAAAACGTGAAAGGACATTTTTGCTTCTGCTTAAATTTGGGCTTACAGTCACAGAAGCCAACCAGCCTCTGCTAAAATCAATTTGATGAAGTGCCAAGAACTCCACTCTTTCAAGCCCGAAGAGACCCAGGGTGGGATTAAAAGGATGAGGGAGTCTGTAAGAATCTAAGGCAATCCAGAGGAAGAGAGCTTTAGTACATTTCAATTACATCTTTACCACATAAATACACAACACAATCTTGTTTGTGGGGACAAAAGCCTCCATTGAAACCAAACACGGAGTATAACACCATCCCCCAGCATGTGCATGTTCGTTGTGAGGCTTGCCAGTGAAAACATGCCACTGTAAAGCTGACTACAAGTTTGCTCAAACGCGGGGATTTGGACAGATCAATTATAGCTTAGCAAAGTTTGCTTTGCATAGAAATAACTGAATCCCCCTCTGTATCTGACAGAATCAACACAAGCCTGTAATTTTGTTGTCTGCTTCATTGTTCTGCATTGCTATCTGCAGGATTGTTCAATTTACCCGCTGATAGTTTGCACGCTGCAATTCCCACAGAGAAATTGGATACTCCCCCCCCCCCAAGGAAAACATCTCATGCCAGGATATAGTGTCTCTGAAATGTGGACGGATCAGAACAACATGAATCTGTCTAATGTGCATTGCAAGAATGTAACAGAAGGTTCCAGAAATCATTGGTATCTTTCCGTCTGGATACATTACATTTCACTCCGATGTCACACTTCCACACTTCCTCAAAAAGCATTTGATCTTTTCCCTCTGGCTACTGTCCACTCATTTTAAAACGCAGAGCAGATGGAGGCTTTTGTGTGTGAAGGGCTTTGTCTGCCTTCACGAGCAAAGCAGAGAATATGTGTGGATTTAGGAGATCGATCCTCTGCGGAGAGCAAACTACATGGGTTTCCTTTGTTTCATACTATAGCTCTGAGAAATCAGAGAATATGCCCAAAATAATCAGACAGAAAGAATCTGAGGCCAGGCGTCTCTTCCTGCGACGCAACAGGCCTGTTTTAGTTTGTTTAGACACTAAACTGTATCTGATCTGATCTGATCTGATCAGATCTGCATTCAAACACTTGACTCAATTCAGCCAGTTCCAGGGAGGAATATCACACACGTCTTTTGTACATTCTTTGTATCCTGCTATACAGCTGGTGGAAAAT